ATATTTTTTAAAAAAAACACAAAAAAGAAGATCACCTTTTAAAGGCATTTTCACTGAATAGGACTTCAGTGCAGTTTGTTTAGTTCCCATAATTCTAGCCCATGTTTAGTTCCTTGAGGTTCCCCTCTCGTGTAGGACCTACAGACAGAGCAGCCAGGGTTTACTGCTGTTTACCTGTTTTATAGACTTTGAGATTATCATGCTCCATGTATATTGACACTTTTCCTTTTATAATTGAACACCCTCTTTATTTCTAATAATGGTTTCATGCTTTTTTAAGTTTATTAGTTTAATATTCCAATTCTGATACTAGTTTTTGTTTGTTTGTTTGCTATAGTTTCTTGGTAGATCTTTTTCTACTAGATTTTATATTTTTAAACTTCCTGGGTATTTATGTTTTAGGTGTGTCCTTTGAAAACAATATACAGCATGATTTCTAGAAGGTATTCAATTGGATAAATCTTTGTCTTTTAACAACTATAATCTATTTGTGCTTACTGTAATCACCAATACTTATAGACAAATTATTATATCATATTTTGTGATTTCTATCATGATGTCTGTTTTGATTTCTTTTCTTTCCAACAGATTCATCTAGTGAGTTTTTATTTATCTAATTTTTGGATTTCTTTTCCCTTTAAACTTACTTGGAAGTGATTTCTATTCCTACACTTACAGTGGTCATTTGAAAATGCTAACATACACTCCTGAATTTGCACATGCAAGAGAAACCACTCCTCCCGTGTCCTCAGAACACCTTCCCCTCTCCAGAGATGAAGTGGTTGGTGCTCTAGTTCCCTCTATAGCTGAAGTCTGTAACTCTCCATCAAATCGCTGTCTTTCGTTTAAGTGGTCGATCCATTGAGATTTATAGACATATTTACCAACTATTAATCCCAGCCTTTCCTCCTAGATGCACTTCCTCTCTAAGAGCCTATTCTTCAGACAAGAGAGTTAACCTCAGAAACGTTAAGAGACTTTCCAAAGTCACACGGCGAGTGAGCACCGGGGCCAACCCTGAACTCCACAGCTCCCGGGTTCTGGACACACCACAGCCTCCCCGCCTGCTTCCTAAGCACACACACGGAGAAGAACTGGGAAAAGGACAAGAATGCCGGCCCATCATTACAGAAATGCAAGGCCCATTACCCTCTGGGTATGAACGGAACTTTCACAAGCTAATCAACAGACACCTGGCACCATAAATGCGGCAGAACATTCAAGATGTTTATCTGTTTCAAGAACATCACAGTTTTCAAAAGGGTCAACTGACTGCATCATCTTTTGCCTCCGCTGGCCAGGTACCCTCTGAAATCTGAGCATCACTCTTCTGAGTCACCTTCACACACATGTAGCCAAGGCGAGCTCTCCCCAGCTGTGGTTACAACAGACTCAAAACCAAGCACACAGGTATTCACAGGAGAAAACAGGGAAAGCCATTGTCTTACCTGTGCCACTTCTTCAAAATCTTCGTGCCGTTTCTGCAGAGCTCTGGCCCGATGGAGAGATTTCCCCACACCTGTATGTTTGCTCAGAAATGCTTCCCCATGGTTCTCGATCCAGTCCAGCACCTGCAATGAAAACAAGAGTTTGGCCATAAAAACGACGGCCTGTGTTGCTCAAAGTTTAGGGCTATCTACTGAAGATACATGCTGTTGTCAAAACTCTATTTAAAAAGAAGAAGAAGAAAAATGAAAGCAATTGTATACTAATCTAACACACTTGAGAATTATATCTTCTATCAGCTTTCCACCACAATTCTAATCAGCTCTTACTTTAAACGTGTAAATCTATGTAGTGATGTTACAGCAATGATGATTAATTTAAACCTCACCTCACTTCATGACCAAGCCACCAAATCTGACTGCGTATGATCGGAGTTATCAAGCCACAGAGACCAAAGTACAAGCAAGCTACACAGCGCAATTCAGGCTTAACTACAGTTAGTGTTTTCCTGTCTCGTCCTTAGAAGACGTGACACATATCAGTAAAACCCAAGAAAACAAAGCCCTTGAACGCCTCTGTCCTGGTCTTTAAGGGCAATTTCTTCAATCAACTAAGCTGTTGTGAAAGCTGAACAGTCGTGGATTTAATTACTTAAGTTCTTGTTGAAATCCACTCCACTGCAGAGACAGAGGGCAAGTAGAGCGTACGCCGATGTTTCCAGCTCACAGTGGGGACCGAGGAGTTCACTGGCTCTCCGAGTGGCGAAAGGCTGACAATAACTAACGAACCATTTACACGATATCAGATACACACGTTGTCACTTTCTGATGGAGCGGAAGTAACTAGCAAAAAACTCACTCAGTGCTGTCTTTGATTAGAAACTAAAAACACTAACTAAAAGGGCCATCTAAATATTTAAATAGAGTTGTTATTATGCAGCTAAAGCACTGAAGGCTGCCTTGAACTTGCATTTCAGTGACTGTGGTAACTAGGCATATGGATCAAAAGGATTTGGGACTGCAGAACCACCTGGGCAGGCACAGCTAGGGTGGTGGCCTACAGGGCAACCTGGAAGCCCGCCAGCCACAGCACTCCACTAAGGCAAATAAAAGGGCCTAACTTGGGGTTCACTGCTGCAGAGGGGATCCCTTGCCCTCTGTCACCTGCACTACAGAGATGCCAGCTGTGCTGACAGGTGTCCAGAAGAAAAGAGACAGCAAGGGCCCGAGCCCCCTGTCTAGGGACAACGGCCTTGCTCCTCATTGCTCCAAACCAGTGACCTTGGGAAGCCGAGGGTCTGAGGGGTCTCTTCTGCGCAGGGCTTAGCAACATTTGCAATAAATAAAATGCACTTAGTACATTACTTGCAAAGGGGACTCAATCTCTGAGAGAGAGACTGAAGGCCCCTGTAATCAGACACTGAGAGCAGAAGTGTGTGGGTACCTGGAAGGGAAGGAAGTGAGGGGTGTATGGAGGCCAAGCTCTGCAGTGGGTGCTCGGGCCACACATTTAACTTTGATTGTAGATAGTTCATGTCTGAAATTTTCTGTCAGCACCACCACGCTGCCAGTCACCTGGGGGCACACTACAGAGTAAGTCTCATGGGGTCCATTTGTATTCTGTCTAACACCTCAGCCCCCATCCTTCTGAAAGCTCTCTCATTTCCCCCTTTTACCCCCAGCCCCTGCATACAAACACAGGTTCTGAGCTGCAGCTTCCCTACTGGCTCAGTGGTGATAACCAGGCAGGTTGCAAATGTTCCGTGATATTGGGGTGAAGCACCTTAACATCAGAGTGGCACATACACAGCACCTGGGCAGCACCCACAGACACAACCCGAGGCAGGCTTCCACCTAATTGCAAGCACTGTGGTGGCACAGCTAAAAGGTTCCACTGCTTTCTAACTAGTGCACTTAGTACATTACTTTTCTTCAGAGAGAGAGAGAGAGAGAGAGAGAGAGAGAGAGAGAGAGAGAGACCTTTAGTATCAGTACTGCCATTAGAAGGTGGTGCTACACTCACTGCTGGACTTCAAGGCAGATATCAAGCTGCCGGGTTGTTTAGACCACAGGCTCTTAGTACATACTTTAAAACACATATTTTAAAATGCACTCCTCAATTAATGTCCAATGACAACCTCGAGACCCAGTCAATGGAATGTGCCTCTGGACATGAGGCCAACCTCATGCAAAGACAGGGATCAAACATTGTAAGACTGAAAAGAATTCAGGGCTATATAAGTAGCACCTATGCCTCAGTCAACCTGCCCGTCAGGTCTGCATGCAGGGCTGGGAGGCATTTTTTACTGTAATTATGGTATATTCTGTATATTCCTCAACTATATATAAAAAAAATGAAGCCATGGGTAAGTAGCAAACCCAATGATTACTGGTGGCTCAATACGGACCTGGAATGTGGCACAATTTCAAAAGGTAAAAGGTGAACATTATTCTTGATAGAAAGGGCTGGGAAAGCAAAATGCAGTATTTAAAAAATAATAATAATCGCTTGGCCAGTGTGGTTCCATGGTTGAGCGTCAACCCATGAACTAAGAGATCCCTGGTTACATCCCCAGTCAGGGCACAAGTCTGGGTTTTGGGTTCGATCCCTGGTATGGGGAGTGCAGGAGGCAGTCGATCAATGATTCTCTCTAGTCAGTGTTTCTTTTTCTCCTTCTCCCTTCCTCTCTGAAATCAATAAAAACATATTTAAGAAGTAATAATAACAACAATTTGTTTTTTAAGCCTAAGAAAGTGTTTCAGGAAGCGTAAGTTGGAAATTAAAGCTATTATAAACCAACTGCTCAGGGTTATCATGGGCATTTTTCTTTCATCAGTAGTTCCTTTAGACAAAATTGTAAATACCAGGTCAAATTATACTTCCAACAAATATGAAAGCAATTCAAAGAAGAGTGTACAAGTCCAAGCACTTAATTAGAAGGGTAGCAGACAAGTATGAAACCCAGCTCGTGTTCAAAACCAAACCCCCTCCTAGGCTTTCACATCTTTCACAAGTCGGAGAACTTTTCCCAGATTGCCACGGAATCCTGAATCAATAAACTGGTCCAAGGAGCATTTCACAGACATGCTTGTGGATTCTTCCCACTTAAGACATGCATGTATTTGCAAACCAGGGGGCTTCATCAACCTCGGCCAGCCGCCTTCCGACCTGAGCTGTGGAGGCGGCTGCCATCTCTCTGCCTTGTGACCTCGAGCCCAGGAGCAAGGCCCACCAGGATTTGCTGCTTTGCTGCCAGACGCCGGGAGAAGGGCAGAACCGATCCCTTCGGGCAGCCTACCTGGTTCAGGGCAGAAAGCATAGCAGGGGGACAACCCCGCCTTCCCTCCCGGTCTGAGGATGTGGGAGGAGATCCTTCCATTGGATGTCGGTGCCCTCTAATGGACTCAGTGACAGCACCAAGGTCAAGCCCGCTCCCAAGTGAGCCCAACACCTATGTCTCTTAGCATCAAATGTCAGATATGCAGGAAATCCTATGGATTGTTTAGCTTAATTCCTAGTTTGTAATTACAAGGTTGAACATGACGATGGTAAGTATGGTTATGCCCATTTCTCAGCTAATAATGAGATTGTTGTCAGCATGCTGTCTAGGACGCTGTTATAAACACTAGATAAGACCTCTGACACTAAACAATCAGGAACACATTAAGCCAGTCTACTTTTATGGTAATTCATGACTCAAAGAGTATTCAGAGAAAATATACAAACATCTGTCAATTCCAGTTAGCAAATTTTTTCTGTTCTAAGTCAGGTTTTCTGTGTGTAAAAATAAAAACAATAAGCTCTTCTGGTTCTATATCCAGTTAAAATAACTATGATTACATGAAGCAAATCAAAAAACAAAGGTACTTCTCAGATATTCTGCATTGGTTCTTTTATATATAAAATCAAATTTTTCCAGATGCAAAATAGGAATTCCCTACCAAACCAAAATTGACCGCGTTTTACTTATTTTAGTTACTTCCTTGTTTAACCTTCTGGCTTTTATGTAAATCAATGGAGATACCAATGTAGACAGAAATGGACCTACCATGTTTCTAGCTGTGCTTTTAACTACCTACGTGCTGCTGAAATCTGAGCCTTCTCGATGATCAAATCAATAGTGTGGTAGTGATTACAACGAAGGACAACCGACCAACTGAGCAATGTCATCTCAAATTTACTAAATGTAAACAGGTGACCAAAAAGGAGGCCTTCACTTAGACAAGGTCAATTTTCTTAAAGGCTGGTGTTTGGCATTGCTGGCAAGTGATCTACTATTAATATACTATTAATGTCACTTACCCACAACGTTTAAAATCACAAATGAAGAAATACTCTGAGTTTAAATTACCGCCTCCACTCCTCCTCCTATCTTGGGCTGCCAGACACTTTTCCTGAATGCTCCGAGCCTATTTGAGCCCTGAGTCAGTGTCTCTGTCCTGTTCTCTCCTTCCCTGAGGCCAGGCCACCTGCTCCACTGCACGGAGGAGAAAATAAAGCCTGGGTGGCTGGGACCTGCTAGTAGGCGAGTTCTCTCCCTTGCTTTCTCCGGTGCCGTGTATCCACTCCTAAGGTGACTGATGAAACTTCAAAATAATTTTTTGAAAAGTCTCCTTAAGTAGCTACTTTCCTTAACTCTGGTGGGTGGGCAACTGCAGCTTCTGAGAAAGCCCTTTCCCTAGCCAGGGAAGCCTCGTATAAGTATTCCTTCCTTCCTAAGGAGCAGGGCAAGTCAACGTGACTCCTGATTAGCTCCCAAGCGAAGTGCCCCTCAGGTCAAGAGCGATGAGGCAGCTAGAAACCCACGAGGCTTCTGGGAGCCTTGGCCAAGTCACGACTCTTTTTGAGGCTCCGTTTTATTACCTGGAAAAGGAGGGGCTTGGCCTGATATGATCGCAAGGGCTCCACATCCTACGGTGTGCACGACCTAACTTTTTCAGTACAAAGAAACAGACACAAAACTCAACATGCATCTGTGGGCCTTGGGGACAGAGGGAAGAAGGAGAACTTCTTAGGCCCAGCGCTTCCAGCTGCCAGGCGGCAATGCCGGTCTCCCCTGCGCACCTTTATTTCTCTCCACTGGGGCCAAGACACTCTGTTTCATTCATTATATTTCAAAATTAAA